CATTGAGCTTCTTAGAGTGGAAAGTAGGAAGTAGGGAGGGAGGGTGAAAGGATAGAGAGAGAGAGAGAGAGAGAGAGAGAGAGAGAGAGAGAGAAACATTGATGCGAGAGAGATACATGGATTGATTGCTTTCTGCATGACCCAGACCAGGGCCTGGGATCGAACCTGCAACCCAGGTACATGCTCTTGACTGGGAATCGAATCCTTTGACCCTTCAACCCTTCAGTCCAAGGGTGAACACTCTAATCGCTGAGCCAAACCAGCCAGGGCAAAGCGACTCTTAAAGTAATCCTCCAGCCCACACTTGTGCCAAGGCTCCTGAAGAGATGCTTTGAGAGACAAGGGTTCAAAGCCAGCTCATTAACATAGCTGGGACAAAACCATCTCACAGTTCTCATTAATCAGATAGTAACAGGCAAAGGATAGTGTTTTGACAGTGTCATTTTGCCCCTGAGTTTGTTTTAGTTGGGTTGCAGAAAAAAATTGAATGTGGTAGAAATAATCAACACAAAATAAAACTGACAATGGCTAAAACTACACATGGTAAAATTTATTATGGCTGGAAAAGCAAACTGAATTATCCCATCTTTGTTGATGGCATTGAACACTGCAAAGTTGACCCCTGGGAAAATTCCACTTGGTAGAAATAATCAACACAAAATATAACTGACAATGGCTCAAATTGCTCCCAGGAAAAGGTGAAGTTGGTGGAAATAATGACTAGAAATTTCATAACAGCTGAAGCGATAATCAGTAAAAATTGATAAAGGTAACTGATGAATCAAATCTTCCTTGTAAAATTGATAGAGAAAAGCATATATGTTGATGAAAATTCAATATAGAAAAATCTAGAAAAGTTAGAAATTGTTTAACTGTGCCTCATAGAAAATTTATCAAGGAATTAAATTGGCTTAATGGAGTTAATTCCTTAAATATTTTAATACATTTATTAATAATAATACAATTCTGCCCTGGCCAGTTTTGGCAGGGACTTGGAGAGATAATTCTCAAATTAGATGAAGGGTCTGGACTATAAATGGCACTTTATAATATTCAAAACACTTTCATACATATTGTTTTATTGGATTCTCCTAGTAATTTTATGAGGTTACAGGGAAGAAATCATTCCTTCCATTTACAGATGTAAACACTGAGGTTCAGAAAAGGATTTACTAAAGGTCACTCAGCATGTTCATGGCAAGGTCTAATTTAGGATCTGATTCCCAGATTCCTACTCCAGTAAACTTCCTTATACTGATGCCCCTAATCAGATAATCCTTTACTCACAAGACAGATCAGACTCTTTCTAATTTTGATCACCCAGCCCCCACCCTCTGCCATTAGAAGTAGGGAAAAGGAGGAGGAGGAGTGAAAAGGGTTAAGAAGAGGGGGCCGGTCAATGCAGTTCTGAGAGGGGAAGGGACATAGCCAACATGTCCTAGGCATATTTCTTACCATTCTAAGAAAAGAGAACAGTGGAATAAGATGTCTTTTGGCCCTGGCCGGTTTGGCTCAGGGGTTAGAGTGTCGGCCTGCGGTTCCCGCTAAGGGCACGTACCTTGGTTGCAGTTTGTCCCTGGCCCTGGTTGGGTTGTGAGGGTGGCAACCACTCGATGTGTCCCTTTCCTGTCGATGTTTCTCTCTCTCTCTCTCTCTCTCTCTCTCTCTCTCTCTCTCTCTCTTCCTCTCTTTCCTTCCCACTCTATCTGAACAAAAAATGAAAAAAAGTCCTCGGGTGAGGATAAAACAATAAAATAAAAAAGATGTTTTTTGGGGGTGGGAGTGGGATTTTAAGGCTGGGAGAATAGGATGAAAAATGAGATATGCAGTTTGAAAAAAGACAGTGCCTGATGTACTTTGAGAAAGTGATTCCTAAGGGATAGCAGTATAACTAGATTTAGAAGGGGTGAAGCTGACAGATTGGCTGCAGTAGGACTGTTAAATTCTGATCTAGGCAACATGGGCTTTCACTGGTAGGCCTGCAGTTCTCCTGTGGGCTGGCTAGTGGAGCTCCAATGTCTCAGTGTTTCTCGTGCAACACCGCAGAATAATGACATGAAATCTATATGTAATTGAATACAAGATTTATGCTAACTCAGAGATTATCTGATACCATATTTTATATTATAGGAGAACTGGACACAGAAAGGAAAGCTTTTTTAAGTGTAGACATTTATTGAGTCTATAGACAATGCTTTTAGTAGAGCTTTGTAGAGCTTTCACAATAACTCTGTTCCTCCAGACTCACTCCCCTCCCCACAGTAATCTCTGGCCCGCAGATTAGAGATCACTGCTGTAAGAATTCAGATATAAGGAAAATCAGTGTGCCTAAAATATGTTCTAGGGAAGATTATGAAGCTAAAGGTGTGGAAAGACCAGAAGAAGAAAAAATTTGAGAAGACACAATGAAAATTAAGAAAATTCTCCCTTCTAATGTAATGGTTTTACATGAATTTTATTTTATTTTTTTCTTTATTGACTTTAGAGAGAGAGGAAGGGAGAAGGAGAGGGATATAGCAACATTGATGACAGAGAACATCGATTGGCCGCCTCCTACATTCCTGCATTCCCCCACTGGGGATCGGTTTCACAACCTGGCATGTGCCCTGACCAGGAATCGAACCTTCGACCTCTTGGTACATGGGTCAATGCTCAATCACTGAGCCAAACCGGCCAATCCTATCAGTCATCAAATAAACCTTCATTCAACCTGTCTACTCATTACACCCTATATTTCTTCTTCTTTTTTTTTAATCCTCACCCGAGGACATTTTCCCATTTTTTGTTCAGATAGAGTGGGAGGGAGAGAGAGAGAGAAACATCGACTTGAAAGGGACACATCGAGTGGCTGCCACCCGCACGACCCAACCAAGGCTGGGGACAAACTGCAACCAAGGTACATGCACTTAGCGGGAACTGAACCCGAGTCTCTCTGGACCGCCGGCCAATGCTCTAACCGCTGAACCAAACCGGCCAGGGCAGGCCTTACATGAATTTTAAATAAACACCATTATTTGTTTTAATAGTGGAAATGTTGAGCTCCCAGAAAAACCAGACAGGTCTAGTCCTGAACCCCCTCTGAGGACAATAGGAAGCCATCAAAAGATTTTAAGCAGCAAAGATATGGTTGTTGGGCCCTGGCCATTTTGGCTCAGTGGTTGAGCATTGGCCCATGCACTGAAGGGTGTTGGTTCAATTCCCAGTCAAGGGCACATACCTGGATTGCAGGTTTGATCCCTGGCCTGGTTTGTGAGAGACACATCAATGTTTCTCTCTCTCTCTCCCTCCTTTCCACTCTCTCTAAAAACCAATGAGAAAATATCCTCGGGTGAGGATTAACAACAACAATAAAAAGATATTGTTGTTGGGTATGGAAATTGTATTTTTGAGAATAGTCTTATAGCTTAAAAAATTATGTGCTCCTTTTATACATTCAGGCAATGTAAAAATTAAAATTACTTTATGCTCAGGCTGGTTTGGCTCAGCGGTTAGTGTCAGCCTGCATTCCGGAGAGACCTGGGTTAAGTCTCCACTAAGAGCACGTACCTCAGTTGCAGCTTGTCCCTGGCCCTGGTTGGGTCATGTGGGTGGCAACCACTCGATGTGTCCCTTTCACACTGGTGTTTCTCTCTCTCCCTCCCACTCTATCTGAACAAAAAAAATATTGAAAAAATGTCCTCGAGTGAGGATAAAATAAATAAATAAAAAATAAAAATAAACAAATAAAATAAAATTACTTTACATCTGCCCTGGTCGGTTTGGCTCAGCAATTGTAGCGTTGGCCGCCTGTGGACCAGAGAGTCCGGGGTTCGGTTCCCACCAGGGGCACATACCAAAAAAAAAAATGTATATATATATATTATATATATATGTGTGTGTGTGTGTGTGTGTGTATGTGTGTGTATAATTACTTTACATCTGACACCCTTTTCTCCAGGATAATCACTGATATTTTGGGACACATCTTTCTTGAAATGTCTCTGAATACAGAATATTGTCTCAAACTTCCTATAAAGTTGGACCATTCTAAATATGCTGTTCTGTAATCAATTTTTCCCTAGAGAATAAAATGTGAATAGCTTTTTATGTCATTGAATAGATACATGTCATTATATCATTATTTTAAATGGCTCCTTAGCACTGCATTGTTTGTATATAATTCAATCAGCCCCTGTTGATGGACATTTCCGTTTTCCCCCTATACAACAACTTCATGCATTCATTCCCGCCCCCCGCCCCCAAATTGTCCGTTGGTCTTTTGAAGGTAAAATTTAGAAAGTAATGGAGCTGAGTCAAGATTTATGTCCTTTTTACATTTGGATTCAAGTTGCCAAATCGTCCTTGGATTTGCAGGGAGACCAGGAGGAAGCTGCTGCGTTAGTTTTGTGAGACAGTGGCAATGGGGATGGGGAAGAGAGCAGTCTCACAGGTGATCTAATCCATTTAGGCCTGTCCTTGGTGGGGTGGCATATTCCTTTCCTTTTTCCTCTCTTTCACTTCTTTTCTTAACATGGAGGCAGAACTGTGAACTGCGTCTGCCAGCATTTCGCAGGGACCGGAGAAGGAAGGCGGGAGACTGTGGCGCATGCTGGAAAATGTAGTCCGTCAGCCTAAGCGGCGGAGTGTGTGTGTGGGGGGAGGGGGTGCGCGCGCGCGCGCGCCTAAAGAAGTTGGAGATACTGAGAACATCGCCACCTGGGGATGGGGCCGTGGGGCGCCTTAACTACTCCCACATGTGGTCTTTGAGTCTACAAAAGCCGCCCCAGGATGGTCGGCTTTATTCCATTGTCAGTGACCGCGGTGGGCGCTGCCCCTCGGCCTCCGGCGCGCGGCGGCCGGCGTAGGCCGCGCGCGGGCCGGAGCAAGGCATGCCGGGAGTTGTGGTCCCAGCTCGCTGAAGCTGTGGGACGTGTCGCGGCGCGGCGCTGCGCCGGCTCCTCCTTCCCCGCCCTTCTTATAGGTCCCCGGCTCCCTCCCTTCGCCTCCTCCTCCCTCGCCCGCAGCGGAGCGTCCCCTCCCCCACCCGTCGGGCTTCTCGGCTGCTACTGCAGAGGATTCAGAGCGGAGTCGCTGAGGAGGAGGAGGCTCCTGGTCCCTGCGCGCCATCCGCCACCTTACTGGACACAGGCGAGGGAGCGAGAGCGTCGCCTCTGTAGCCTCCAGAGAAGACAAGGGCATCGCCGCTTCAGCCACCGCCGCCGCCGTTTTCGCCTGCAGCGGCTCGCCGGTGAGGAGACCCCCCCACCCCCACCCCCACCCCCCACCCGGGTCCACTCGCCCTGAGCCTGGGCCGGTGGTACTGGGGAGAATGAGAGTGGGGGCTGCGGAGCGCGGGCTCAGGGAAGGGGGTTGAGGTCGCGATGGAACGGCGGGCTGGCAGGGGAGACTTGTCCGGGCGCGGGCTGGGGGTGGGGTGAGGGTGGGACCCAAGCAGGTTGGGGGGGGCGACCCGAGAAGGGGACTTCCAGTGAGGAATAACCAGACCTGAGTCAGGAGCGTGGGGTTGGGGGGTTGGGGTGGAATTTGGGATGGTTTTGGGCAAGCTGGATGATGAGGCTGGAGGGGGGTGGCTTTTAATGGGGGAGGGGACTGAATGAGGGTGGTGGATTTGGGGTTGGCTTGGAGGAGTTGACAGTTTGGGATCCGAGCTGGGGTGTGGGGTAGGGGGTAATTTCAATAGAGAGTGGGATAGCAGGATTGGATAGGGCTCTTGGGGAGTGTTAATTAAGGAGGGTGGAATTTGGGGTGGACCTAGGGCAGGCTTGTAGGGGTGGTACGAGCTGGGGATGAGGGGCTTGGCATGGGTTAAAACCTGGGCTTGAAGTGGGCATTTGTCATCTAGGGGTGATGGAATTTGTGGAGACTTATGGAGTAGCGTGGGTTAGGAGAGCAGAGGAGGTAGAATTTGGGGTTTTCCTGGGGAGTGTTTATGGAGGTTTGAATAGGAGCTGATGGGGATGGGACTTTCAATGAGGGGAGTGTAATGGTGATCTGGCAGGAGGGGGGCGCGCATTAGAAATTAGGTCCTCAAATGGGCGGACAAGGATTGAAATTGGGAGGGGGAACAGTGGGATGGAATTTAGGGTGATCTTAGAACCACTGGAAGGGGCATTGGTTGCTCCTTGGGTGCAGGTTCAAGGCAAAGGGCACAGAAGACGCTGCTGAGCTGGACTCAACTGAAAGAATGAATAGTGGCAGGTGGTGAGCCAGGTTGGGGGATGGTATCTTGAAGAAAATGTCCCTTGGTCAAGGTGGCAGAGGGAGTTTAGGAGAAAGAATGTCTGAGGTGAACTGGTAGGACAGGAGAGGTGATTGCTGATGATGAGGTGGCAGAGGGGTTATTTAAGGAGTGGGAAATATGGAGTTGGTGTGAATGGGGCAGAGAGGATGAAGAGGGCCAGTGAACAGTGCTGGGAAGAGGTGGATTGGATGAAAAGGAAGGATTTTTGATAGAGACAGAAGAGGGTTAGTGGTTGGACTTAAGTAGACAGCTTTGGAGGCTGTGGTTTGGGAGAGACAGTAATCAGATGAGACTTTGTAGGGGAGAGAGAAGGCACATTAAAGATTCTCTTTCCTAGAGGACATCTTAAGCTGTTAGTTTAATCTTTTTATTTCTTTTCATTTATGTTAGTATATTTGGAAGTAAATCAACTCAAAGGGTGAGGTTAAGAGGGTCTTCAGTTAAGGTAGAATTAAGGAGGGGAGAATGTCTTCTCTTACAGGCATACACTTTGGAGATAGTGCGATTTGGGTCCAGATCACCATAGTAAAGCGAGTATTGCAATCAAGTGAGTTGTGATCTTCTTGCTGGTGGAAGGTCTTGCCTTAAATTTGTAAAAACTGCAACATCTGTGAAGTGCAATAAAGCAAAGTGCAGTAAAATGAGGTATATCTGTGTTCATATAACAAGAAGGTTGGGAGAAAAAACCCAATCCCAAACTAAAGGTGGAGAAGATAAAACTGGAATGTGACAGAATATGATGTCTCTGGCCTTCTCCTTTCTGCCTTCTCCCTGGTGCGTTTAAAAATTAGTACTGGAATTTGTAACTAAATAGATTTGATGGGCTTGGGGTAGCATTCCTTGCTTGAGAACTGGTGAATGAGACTGAAAAATATGAGGCTGAATTTATTTTCTAGTCAAGAAGCATGCATGTATGCAGAAAAAGCTTAGGCCTTTTTTTTTTCCTCCTAAAATTGATTGCTTGAAGACTCCATCTATTGGTGTCCTGGTTTGCAAGGCAATTAGGCCCATCATTGTATTGCAGGCTAATAATCCTGAGATGAATCTTGGCACCACTACTTACGTAAACAGAGAGGACAGGAAATACAGAAATGTCATAAATATTCATTGGTAAGATGGTTTAGTATTGATGGAGTTTGATTCTCTTTTGACATTACTTGATAAAATTTATAATAATTGGACTATATTTCTATAGATTGAATTTTCTTCTGAAGGAATTCAGGTGGTCAGAATTTTATCAGGTGTGGATAAAACCATATAGAATCAAAAAAAAAAGAAAAGCCCTGGCCGGTTTGGCTCAGCGGTTAGAGCGTCGGCCTGCGGTCCTGAGAGACCCGGGTTCGGTTCCCGCTAAGGGCGCGTACCTCGGTTGCAGTTTGTCCCCGGCCCTGGTTGGTTGTGCGGGTGGCAGCCACTCGATGTGTTTCTTTCACATCGATGTTTCTCTCTCTCTCTCTGTTCCTCTCTCTCCCTCCCACTCTACCTGAACAAAAAATGGAAAAAAAATGTCCTCGGGTGAGGATAAAAAAAAAAAAAAAAAAAACAACCATATAGAATCATTCTATTTATTTTTTAGGGGATGACATTGAAGTAGACACATTACATTAACTACAGAAACAATATCTCCAATTTTATTTAAAGTTTAATAATATGCTTATTCTCATGGCAGAATGGTGATGCTAGAAGGTAGAGAGGATGTGCCATGGAAGAAATATCTTTAGGGAAACACTTTTCTGGACTTAATTGCATTAACTATGATATGTTAAAGAAGTGGCTGTTGATTTTAGAGCTCAAACTGAGAAAAAAATGGCGAGGGATCTAAAAAGACTGAAATTGGCACCATTGGATCAAAATCATTCTTTTTTTGTTTAAGCTTCAGAGTTCAGCTCACAAACAAATTTTCTTTGGCTTTCACAGTTGAGCATATTAAAATACCCAGTGTTTAGAATGCTCTTTTTTTTTTAATAGTTCCAAGATAGGCAGAGTGATGGAAGGTTAGACTTATTTTCAGAAGAAAGTTTTTTTTTTAAATTAGAAACCTTTCCTTTTTTTTTTTTATCCTCACCCGAGGACATTTTTCAATATTTTGTTCAGATAGAGTGGGAGGGAGACCGAGAGAGAGAAACATCGATGTGAAAGGGACACATTGAGTGGTTGCCACCCACACAACCCAACCAGGGCCAGGGACTAACTGCAACTGAGGTATGTGCCTTTAGAGGGAACTGAATCTGGGTCTCTCTGGACCGCAGGCCGACGCTCTAACCTCTGAGCCAAACCAGCCAGGGCAGGAACCTTTCTTTATTACAAAAAAAATCAGGTTTGAGTCATTCGGTGAGAGTATAATCTAATTAATGCAATCATATCTCCTCATAATTTTACCTTGGGGTTCTGACATTGTTTTTGTGGATCTGCAGGCTTGATATAGAGGTGAGATATTTATATTTTTAAAGCCGTAGCTTTCGAAAGCTCAGAATGAAAAGTAATCACCTGGGAGAAATGTCTTGGTGGATTCCCCTACTTCATCCTCACAACTGTGGTCACCTGTGCTATAGAAATGTAAAGTGGTTTAGTACCTTTGTTTGCCTCATTTGATTCTTCCAATATTCTGGTGAGAAGGGGAGAGCAGAAAGAGGTATTAGTAGATAGGCACCTTGATAAAATGAATAGCCTGTGAATTCAGGGGTCAAGAGTCCTGGGTTCAAATCCCCATTCTAGAACTTGATAGCTGAGTGGTTTCGGTAGTCATGAAAGATCTTTCATACTTAGTGGTAATGGTTGTCCAACATTGGGAATGTACTTACACTGAATCGTACACTTAAATATGGTTAAGAAATCTTTCATACTTCACAAAGCTGTCTAAGGGAACAAATCAGTTAATGTCCTGAAATAACTTTATGTCATGAAAACTCTGCATATATGAAATATTTATTTATTTACTTATTGCCTGCTAAGTGCCACTGGAAATGAAAATGAACAAAAAACAGCTTTCAGTATAGTGAGAGAGACATGATTTAAAAATAGTGAGAGAAGTGAGGCAAAACTAATGTAGTGGCGGAGAGTGTGGTTCTGAGGTTTGTACACCATTTATTAGTTGTGTGACCTTGGACACAATGGTCTCATCTATAAAGTGGGCCTAAGATACCTAATCTCATAAGTTGTTTTGAGGATTAAACAGAATAAACTATGGAAAGCATTTAATACAGTGTGTTACATAGTACACATTAAAAAATATTAGTTGCTTCCATTATTAGATAGGAAGACTAGAATGTGAATAGCCTTGTTTGTCCTATCATTGAGTTCTTAGTATTATGATGTTCTACTATTTATTAAGGATATATTATTTTGTATTATCATCTCATAGTTTATCTACATATTTGCTTGCTTGTACTGTAGTATAGGAACTTTAAATAGTAAAGTACTAAACATGTTAGCTGTTAGCTTTCTCATATATAAAACAAGAAGGAAAAACTCCTCTGAGAGCCTGGCCCTTGTGACTCAGTGGTTGAGCATCGACCCATGCATCAAGAGGTTGCTGGTTCGATTGCCAGTCTGGGCACATGCCCAGGTTGTGGGCCAAATCCCCAGTAGGGGCATGCTGGAGGCGACCAGTCGATGTTCTTTCTTATTGATGTTTCTATTTCTCTCTCACTCTCCATTCCTCTCTCTCAAGATCAATAAAAAAAAAAGATTAAAAAAAAAAGCTCTTCTGAGAGGTTAAATGACATGCTTAAGATTATAGTCCGTAAGTAGAAGAGTCTGGGTTACAGCCTCCCCAAATTCTGATTCCTCAGCCCTGTTGAATCTTTTTCAAATTGTTAAGCCATATGTATAAAAGTACATATAACATACATCTTCAACTTAAAGAATGATAAGTTGAAGGCCTGTTTTTGCTACCAGCTTAACAAAAGGGAGATTTCTAGTACCTTTAAAGCCTCTAGCAATTTCCTAGCTGACTGAATCTCCCTCCTTCTTTCTCCCTCAGAAGT